CCCGGCGGGTCCGCGGAGGCGGTGGCAGCAATTTTTTTTCATTTCTTGATTGACAGCTTGCTGTGAGTCATTTTTAAACTAAACAATGCTAGAAGACACCGCTAGTGGAGGTGTTGGCTATGGAATAACACCTTCTCAAAAGCAAAACAAAAGAGCTGATGCGGTATGCTAAACGCTCTGCTTTTCCTTAAATGTTTTAGCCTCCTGTGCATCTGAGGATGTGACATTTGGGGTAGTGTAGGTAGACTGCTGAAATAGAGAAAGGTGTACATTTGTGCATTTGCACATAAGTACATTTACATGCCATTGCTTTACTATTGAATGAAACTAATGTAAAATGATTGTGAAAAGTGGTAGTAGTCACTGGAGTGAGAACCTCCGCACCAGCAGTGAATGGAGCACTTGTTCCTGCTATTGGAGGAAAGAAAGCTATGCAAATGAGATTTAAGTACAACTAACCATGAAAAATGTTGTATTTAAATAAAATACTCGTTTAGTTTCTCAGTGGTGTCTTTTTTCTCCTTGAATTTTTTGTTTTCAGTACCCCAAGTGTGACCATCAAATATGATTCTTTGTCTACTACAAGAAACTCCTTAAGTACTTCTTTTGCCATTTGGCCACATGGCTTCAACTACAATGGTAAGTTAGGATTTAGATCTTAAGTTTAGAATTTTCAGATCTTTTTGCTGTAGTCTTCTAGCTGTCATTCTAGCCATTAATATTTATCATTTTCTTTTAAAAAAGTTGTTTTGCTTGTCACTGCTGAATTCATTTCCTTTTTTAAGAGTGTCTTCCTTCGTAGTTTGTGAATACTTCTAAAACACTTACTCACTGGCCAGTGCAGTATAGGAATTGCCATATCAAGCTAGTGGTGTGTTTTCAGTCAGGAGTGCTGGCAGGAAGTTGGGTGCATATAAATCCTGCTTCTACATAGTAGTCTTGTATTTACAGATGCTAATATTGCCATGGATTTTTACCTAATGCTAAAACAGTCAGTGAATTGAATGTTTGAAATCATACCTAGACATAGTTATTGTAGGTGTATCTACTAGATATATCCACTTATATAGAAAGCATCAGTATTTGACATTTTCATAAAAACACCTAGACACTTGAAAATTAAAATGTTCTGTTGTGGCAGGTTCTACCATGCAATAGCACAGTAAGTAGGTGGGGGGATTTTCATGAACAGGTAAGAAATTTTGTTTTAGGTATGTTATATGAGTGGTTTTGTTGTATATTTCTTTGTTGTTCTTTTGTTTTTGTATAGTATGGTTTTCTTCACTTTCTATTCTAATAAAATATTATCTGTGTATTAACTGTTGTTACCTTGGATTGGACTTGACTCATGTGTCTTCTGTTCCTTGAGGCTTGAGTAGAGGTGTTTGACTTTAGAAGCAGCTGATAGGGATGGTTTAAACTGAGGGAATAGGACAAATGCATATTTGGGAGGAGGTACCTATTACAAATGTTCCTGAGCTTCAATGAATATTAGAGCTTGTCACAAGTGCATTCCTAAGGACTTTATCCAGCTGCCACTGAAGTGAGTGCATTGCTTCTCTGGACTTCACTGGAGATGAATCAAGCTCATGCCATTCTCCTACAACGCTTTGGTTCTTAATAGTGTCCTCTTTTTCCTCACTGCCCCAAGTCAGTTTCATTGTTTGGTTCATTTAGCAGCTGCACATTATTCCTGCACAAAGGAGGTCAGAGCTTAAGGGAGTGTCAGAGAAGGAACATTAGGAGCCAAGGAAGACTTTCTTGGGTTTTTTTTACTCTGGTGCTTGTTTATTCTGGTCTGAAATACTTGTCAAATTTTAGTCCAAGAGCTCATAATTCTGATCTGTGAAGCTGTGGGCTCTTTTTGAAATAAAGGTATATCAACTACAGGTGTACTGAAGTAAAAGACATTCCAAAGGAGCTAAATTCATTAAAATAAATGGTATTGAGTATACCATGCTATGGGTTATTGAGAAGCTTTTGCAGATTTTGCTGTGTTTCATAGGGTTGGGCAGACTTTTACCCTGCCTTGGAGGAAATCTGTAGTGGAAGCTGGTTTTGCTTCTTAGCCACCTAACAGCATATCATAGGGAACACTCCTTAAATTGTATCATGTGCAGAAGGAATTTTCTGAGCACAAGATCTTTGTTTCCATTTTGTGACAAATAACTGTACCAACACTTGGGCACTGGTATCTAAAAGATGAAATGTTTTCTTCCTGGACATCTGTTCAGGGATATTTTGGCCTATACTTTCTGTTGAGTTTGTGATCAGCTTAATAAAGGAGATCAGGTTTTCTAGTTGTCATCTCTAATTGTTTTGGTTAGTATTTGTTACTGCTTTTATTAGGTGTAATTTCCATTCCTACTTTTCGTTCTATTTGCCTTTCATTGTTCCAAGGTTTCATAATTTAGCCAAGCCTTGTGATGCCATTACAAGAGACTTTAGCTAAGTTTAGTATGTACCAAAGAATTTTTGAGCCCATCTTCTAATTATAAATTCATAGCAGTATGAGTGGATTGTCAGGGTGTTTTTAATGTATGAGGACATTAAAAAAATCATGTAATTGCTAAAAAACTCTTTGTCATTCTTGTAGCAACAAGCTTTAGAACTGGCATTGGATCGTGCTGAGGTAAGAAGCAGCTAAATTACTTGTTTGCACGTAATTTATCGGTCTCAGAGCTATAAAAATACAACAGCTATTTTTTATTTCTCCTGAAAAGCAGTAGAAAATCCCATTATGTAAATATGTATGTGTGTAACCATCTATATACGTAACACTTGAGTGTGCAGAATTCTCACTGAAATTGCTGTCATGTTTTTGTCTCCTACCCATTGTGCTGAGAGCATCATCAGGTGTGAGGGTGATAGACTGTGCAAGACTTGAGCTTTCCCCTTTTAAACCAGCAAATCTGTGTGCTGTGAAATAAGCAGGGCTCTACAGAGACACCTGGCAGAAATATACGGTAAAATCCTATTTGTGTTTTTAAGGATAGCCCAGTGAGAATGAAGAGGCAAGTGCCTTCACATTCATGTTTTTTGATGCTATCATCTGCTGTAAGAGTTACCTTGAACCCTGTTGTGGGAAATATTTGTTCTTGTGGAAGAACCTCTCTTCGCATAAATTCTGAACAAAGCTGATGATTGAAATACTTTAAACAATAGAGATTTGGAAAAACCTTGTTAGAATATAAATCACATTTACTGGAGGATGCTATCTCTCTTATTCTTTTTTAATTTGAATGTTTAATGTACATTAATTGTATTTATAATGCACAGCTCTGTAGAGAAAAATAATGTAAATGCAAAAGGCAAGGGGAAAACTTCCTGAAATTACCATGCTGCAGAGTACTTGATTTGTAAATGTTGTCAAGCTAGTGTGCATAAACTTGGTTGTACCTTAGCATTAACCACCTAAATTTCAGTATAGGTAACTAAGTACAGTAGTGTTGTAGTGTTAGTTACTACTGTAATTAAAAGACTTGACTGTAGAATGAGGACCTTGCATGGAACTGATGCCATAGCCATGAAATGCTGTCTTTGACAGCTAAATGTGTTCTTGTTGATGACTGTAACATAAGCCAGATTGCATTTAGTGCACTTTCGTATCTGTATGGTCATGTATCTCATGTACCATAACTGTTAATTACTTTCTGTATACATGGAACACTGTCTAGTAATGATCTCTAGTTGTGTGGTAACTAGAATTAAATTTCTTTGTAATACATGCTGGGTTTTTGTTTACTTTTCTCTTTTAGTATATCATTGAAAGTGCCCGTCAGAGACCTCCCAAAAGAAAATATTTATCCAGTGGAAGGTATTGAGAGTTTCAGTATTTAGGTTTTTATTATAATTTCTTTGATTTAATTTTAGTTACATGTTGAGTCTTTTTAATTTCAGAAAATCTGTATTTCAAAAACTTTATGATTTATATATTGAAGAATGTGAAAAAGAGCCTGAGATAAAGGTAAGTGGAAATTGCTGAGAAGCTTTTAATTTCTGTCTAAACAGGTAGATTGAGAAAATGCTTTGTTTTTAATTCCACTTAATTTCTTTGTTAAATGCAGTATAAACCCCTATTATTGTAGTAGTTACCTAAAGATAAGACTATATAACATGAATAATAAGGCTTAGACTGGCTTGAGTGAGCTGTTCATTCTCTTTTAATCGTGTGTCACCGAAGGGCATTTCTGTTCAAGTTCAGGGCCAGTGTCAATGCCATGTGCATTGCTGTCATTATCACTGTTTCACAATCAATTGCTTAGCATGGCTGCCGTGGGAAAAACGTGGATCATTTTTCAGACCCTGAAATTTTGTTGTAAATTCAGATTTATTTCTCCAGTTGCTGATAAACTAAGAAGTTCCATGAAAAATTTTCATAGTACTAGCAAAGAGGTTCAAACAAGCATATCAGTTCTAAATATGAGGTATAAAAGGCACAAATTATTTTGCTAAACTCTGAATGTCAAACAAGAAGAAAAAGGTGTGGAATCTTCTGTAGTGCTGCTTTCAAGGAAGTAAAATGAATGAGAAGACAAATGAGCACTTAGGTTAACTCCCAATTAATGGTTGTACCCAGGGCTGGTATTCAGAGATGAAATATGGCCTCCAACCAGGGGCTGTAAAATTATCTGAGGCTTAGAATTCATTGTCTTAAGTTCTAAGGGGTTTCCAAATGCTTGAATATGTAGGATGTTTATGTGGTCTCTGAAACACTCTAAGTAATTATAAAAATCTGTTATACATCAAAAAGATAGTTTTACATTTAAATAAGGGCATAGTGTCTGCAGCTGCTGGATCAGATTTCAGCAAATGAAGACAAGAAAATGCAATTAATAAAGCTTCCAAATGCTACAATTCATTATTTTAATCATGGAGAGAAATGCCTTCTTCTGTTAGGAATATCTGAAAGTACTAAGTATTTTGTTGTTGTTATCAAACAAGTTCTAGTGTATTGATGATATTTGTAGAAATGATACAAATAATGGTGCACTATAGATTTACAACATTTTAGCATAAGGTTATTTTTATAACTCTGTTGTCTGTTGACTTCCAGTTCCAGGGTTTTTAATTGGAGTGGGATTGTTTACAAAAATCTGTATCTGTAAGAATAATACATAATATTATAGTTGTGATAATACATAGTATATTTACTTCGCTGAATACAGTACAATTACATTTAACTGGGCTTGTTTAGATGTAGAATTTGTCATTAATCTAAATCACATTCTAGCAATTGTTTTTATTTCTGCTAGTTATTTCATAGTATTATGTTCATGAGCAATGTTTACTTTTAAAGCAGAAGCTGAGGCGAAATGTGAACTTACTTGAGAAGCTGGTTATGCAGGAGACTTTGTCATGTCTGGTGGTAAACCTCTATCCAGGAAACGAGGGTTATTCACTGATGCTCAGGGGAAAAAATGGTTCAGGTAACACTTTTCCCTTGAATTTTTAAAAATACTCAGAATACTATATAAATTTTCAGAATGTGTTGTTGTTTACATTTAACTGTTTCACTTCCAATATAATTCCAGTGGGGGGGTGGGAGAATAGCCAACTGAACTTGAACTAAAAATTTACTTAAAGCTCTGAGCTGTTTATCTACAGGTGAAATCTGTAGATAGGAGTTTTTCTGATGGCCTTCCAGTCTCTTATTTCCCCTTAGTTTCTGGAGTTGCATATCCGAGTTTCTCTCACTTCAGGTTCCTTCTGTCATATTGTTTCTTTCACTGCTTCCAATGTCTAGATCTGTCTAGAGGCATTTGTGTTCCAGTTTTGTGCATTTTCATGCCATTTGTACTGTCATGTGCAATAAGAGCATGCATTATGTCACCTGGGAACAAAAGCTAGCACAGTAATAGGAAACTCTAAATTTACTAAAACTCTGTGAACAGAAATGGATGTAAAAATTAACAGTATGGAAAAAAAATGGTATGTGTGGATAGGTTTCTGCCAAATCTGCTTTTTCCTGTGGCAAGTTTGTTTTACATTTCTTAATGTTTAAACTGGAAACACAAAGGTAATGTGTTTTATTTAAATTCAGATTCTGAGACCATTCGTCTGCCTTATGAGGAAGGAGAGCTGCTTGAATATTTGGATGCAGAGGAACTACCACCTATTTTGGTTGATCTTTTGGAAAAATCTCAGGTTTGAAATTTTTTGTTTTTAAAAATAACTTATGTATTGTACCTAGATAGACCTTGATTTTTTTGAATGCTTCACATAAATGGTTGTAAGCACAAGCCACTTGTATTTAATGCCCCAAATAAATATTTTATTGATATGTAGGAAAAAAAAATACTACTGAGGAGAAGGAGATAAGAGAGATTGCTATGATTAAGGCTGTGAAACATCTTGAACTCTGCTCTAGCAAAATTTTGTTTGTTCTTTGTCATTATGGAAGTTTGGCATGGGAATTTCTTACAACTGCATTGCTGGCATATGAGGACACTGCATTCGAAGCTTGTGTTTTAGGTATGTTTAGGACAAACGTGTCTACGTACATAGGAAAGACTGCCGGTCTGAAAAACTTTGTTGTGACTTATATTCCTAGTTTCACTGAATTTCATATGTTATATAACAAGCTCCTTTGTAGAGGCAGGGAATGATTTTGTTCATTCAAAAGCTGGTGTTTTTCTTTCAACCAGGTTAATATTTTCCATTGTGGATGTGTCATAGCAGAAATACGCGACTATAGGCAGTCTGGTAACATGAAATCTCCAACGTACCAAAGCAAGCACATTCTTTTGCGACCTACAATGCAGGTAAAGAGGAGCCTTAAGTAATTTCTCAGTGTTACAGTAGTTCCTAAACTCTGTATGCACTGTTACTGAATATTTATTAAGAAATACTATTATTCAATTGAAAGCTAATTACCATTATGTCTTTTTCCTCAGACTTTAATTTGTGATGTGCATTCTATAACAAGTGACAACCACAAATGGACACAGGTAGGGTTAGAGGTTATTTAAAAATTTTAAAGTAATGTCATAAATACACAACAAAATGAAAATTTATTAACAATTTTTATTTGTTTAATAATTTATTTTTCTTTTTTTTTTTCTCAGATAATGTCTGCATGCATGGGTATATAGGAACTTGACTACTGTAAAAATTTTCATATTTTTATATTTATTAATAGCTGTGTATATTACAGGAGGACAAACTCCTACTTGAGAGCCAACTTATTTTGGCTACAGCAGAGCCTTTGTGTCTTGATCCTTCAATAGCAGTGACCTGCACTACAAACAGACTCCTGTACAACAAGCAGAAGATGAACACTCGCCCCATGAAACGGTAGTTTTCAGTATGAAGCTTCAGTATGAAGCATGAAGAAAAATATAATTAATACTTTATTTGAAAATTTAGCTTCTTGTATGTAATACCTACTTAAATAGGAGAAAGTACAATTTCTTGACTGTTTCTCACACTGTGTTTTTAAGTGCTCAATATTGCATTATATTTCAGTTACTAGTAGATACTGTAGTATGCTTATTTTTGTATGTCAAAGGAAAATGTATTTATATTTTCTTAACATAATCAGTTATATTGCAGTTTGGATTTGGGGATTATTTTGCATAGGTTTTGTGTAATCAGAGTCAGATGGCAGCTCAGTAATGCAAAATATAGAAACAATATGTTGCATATTGGTCTCCAATTTGTTAAAAGCTTAAGTCAAGGATAAGTTTAATCCTGAATGAGCAAATGAAAAGACTTACTTGTATGTTTTACATTCAGGCTAAACAGAAGTGTAAGTGTATAAGAATCTTGGAAAAATTTAAAATAATGTGGTATGCACTATGTACAAAATGTTGAAATTATTTCACTTTTATGCGTGGTTGGGCCCTTTTTTATTTCCACAGAAGCTTGAAACATTTGTTCAGCATGTTTGTTCTACCACATGAATTGCATTCACCCTGTAAAAAGGAAATGTATTAATGGTCTGTCACGATTACAGAAATAGTAAAAACTAAATATGCATGGAAATACTATGCTAGTGCCAAACCAGCAGTTGTTTCTAAAAAAATATAAATAATGAATTTGATCAAGCTATCATTGAAATTAAAGCTTGGTGGTCAGCAGATACTCCACTAGAAAAACAGGAAAAGGGATTAAATGAATGTCCAGAACAGCATTACTGAACCTATGAGTTTGCCATGAAACAAAGACTAGAGGGTAGTTACTGTCTTATGTAACTTTATAGTTACATAAGTAGGACAAAGATCATTTGATGGAACTGAAATGATGATAATACATAAATATTTTAAGCTTGACAACTTCTTAATTACTCATTTTGATGATGTACTTAAATTAGGCATTTAAATAGTATCCCCATTCTCAGTGCTGAAACAGGTGAACAGAACACTGGTGTATTTTATGAGATCATGATTTAGAGTTATACAGTGTAATCCAGAAAAGCAATTTTAAATTAGTATTTAAAAACCTGTTAGTCTTCATATAAGTAGCAGTTCCCTGCATATTTTTGTTTTTGTACAAGGGCAGTAGAAAATTTGATGCTGATGGTTTTACAAGCTTAGGTGTCATTTTGCCATAGGTGCTTCAAAAGGTACTCAAGGTCCTCTCTGAACAGACAGCAAGAAGTAGCTCACTATTCAACTCCACCTCAGCTCAGATTACTTGACTACTTACAGAAGAGGAAGGAGAGGAAAGCAGCCCAGCAGTATGACCTCAAAATTTCAAAAGCTGGAAATGTAAGTGTTCTTACATGGAAAAGTAATGTAATAAACTTCTAACTATTGAATTAAATAATTTAATATATTAATCCTGCTTTTTCATCTTCCAGTGCGTAGATATGTGGAAGCAGAACCCTTGCTACTTGACTGCTCCTTCTGAAGTAGATGTAAGACTGCCAATTGTTACATATAATGAGCAATTATTAGAAATTGTATGATATGAAGAAGCGTCTAAGAAGTAACCAGTATCAAAGAATGACCTTAAAAAATGGGAGTGACTTTAACATTTACAATTACTTTTCTGTACCATAAGGTATTTGTATATATTACCACTGTAATATATTGCAGTTGTAACAGAATAGTTTGGATGAAGTAGTCAGTACAAACCAATTGTTAGTATTGTTTTTCTGTGGGCTCAACAGAAAAACATGTCTATTTGAAGTTGTCTGATAGTATGAAAATCAGAAAAGCAAATGAGGTTTGTAGATTGTCTGTAAACTAGTCACTTTTCATCATGGTAGAAATTCCTGTCTTTTGATATGTTATACTATGGGACATTAATATTCTGAAAAGTTTTACATTTTATACAGAAAATTCTAGTTGAGAGTTCTTTTGTTTGCTCTGTGTGCATTTTTCTCTTAGGGACATTCATATTCTTAGTTTCTGGAACTGCCAAAATACATACTATTAATGTACAGAAGGGACTCATAGAATATCCTGAGTTGCAAGGGACCTACAAGGATTATCAGGTCCAACTCCTAGTCCTGCAGGACAGGACAACCTCCAAAATCATGCCGTGTGTCTTATCCAAATGCTTCTTGCACTCTGTCAGGCTTGGTGCTGTGACCAGTTCCGTGGGGAGCTAGAACAGCTCCCAGTCACCCTCTGGGTGAAGAACCTTTTCCTGATACCGAACCTAAGCTTCCAATGACACAACTTCAGGCCACTCAAGCCCTGTCACAGGTCACTACAGAGAAGAGATCAGTGCCTTCCCCTCTCCTTCCCCTCCTGAGGAAGTTGTAACTGCAGTGAGATCTCCCCTCAGTCTTCTCCAGACTGAACAGACCAAGTGACCTCAGCCACTCCTCATGTGGCTTCCCCTCAAGGCCCATCCTCAAGGCCATCCTCGTGGCTCTCCTTTGAGCACTCTCTAGTGGCTTTATATTCTTAAATTGTGGCACCCAAAGCTGCCCCCAGCACTGGAGGTGAGGCTGCCCCAGTGCAGAGCAGAGCAGGACAATCCCCTCCCTTGCTTGGCTGCCCATGCTGTGCCCGCTGCCCCCCAGACACTCGTGGACTTCCTGGCTGCCAGGGCACTGCTGACTCATTTGACTTGCCACCAACCAGGACGCCCAGGTTTTCTCTAGGATACTGAGATTTTTTAAAAGACTGTAGACTAGACAAGACTGTGGCTTTGGACATTGTAGGGCTGGCAAGAACGCAAATTATGCAAGAAATGACAGTGTAACTTTCTACAAAACAAGCCTCTCTTTTCACTTCAACTGTGTTGTACCTGACTTAATCAGAGGCTTTAGGAATTATTGTTACTGTGAAATTACTTAACCATTCCATATTGCAGGCAATGATTTCAATCTGTAGTCTAAAACCATGTTTCATTCTGTTAAGTTGAACATAGCAAATAAGGTATAACACTATAAATGTAAAGTTCTGAAGGTTCCTCAGTTAAGTTTCTCTGAAGAAACATAGGGGATTCTTTCTTTTCTGATCTCTCTGTTTTCTTTAAGGTGGAAAAATATGCCAAAGTGGAAAAGTCTATCAAGTCTGATGACTCACAACCAACTGTCTGGCCAGCTCACGTGAGTAATACAGACCTTTGGCCAAACTTCACTGTCTCTAGTTAACCTGCCTCTTATTTCAACAAAATCAATGTAATGTGGAGTAATCTTCTCTCCTCCAATTTAATTAATCTTCCATGTGTTACAGAGACATAGGAAGAGGACCAGAGATACTTGTAATTTCATACAGTAAAGCAAGCATGTGATCAGTCTGATTTCCTCAGATTTTCCAGAAATACAAGGATAAGCAGCTTGTACTAAAGAAAGGATCATAATTTACATGGAGCAGAACTCTGCACAACAAATTGCTTTCTTTACTCAGACACTCAAAGGCTGATGAAAAAGAGATTTATTGAAATCAAAATGTTAAATTTTGAATTAGATTAATATTAAATGCCTCTTACAAAAAAACTTTCTGCAATGTTTAAATTGAGCCTTAAGATTTTTGGCACAAGCTATGTGATTTGATCAGAAGTAGTGATTTAATATAATCATTTATTAATTTACCTTAATAATAATTAATTCCTTGATTAGTTATGTGATTAAATCACATAATTGATTAATTTTTTATTATTTAAGAGGCAAGGTATGTCTTTATTAACAGCATATATGATGATATCTTTGTAGTTGCCTGTTAGAAAAAAGTAATACTTTCCCATAGAACTTCATGTTCACTCCCAACATTTTACTCTCAACGTTTTTTGCATTGTTATAATTCATATAAAACTGTTTCTATATGTGTTTACCCAGTCTACATTTCCATGTCTAACATGATTGTTTGGGGTTTGCAATATCTTTGTATTTTTAAGGGATGATAAATACTTTTTCTCTCATCCTGTTAATGTAATTTCTGGAATCACTTTCATTGTAGATAATGCACCCCTTCCTATAGAATGATTACTTTTAGTTACTTACAGAATGTTTCTTATTCGGTAATGTATATAGAGCTGGTCTGCTTTACTTGCTGTTTTGCCTGAGACTTTTTCAAGACTTACTAGGTCATTCTGTCTTTTCAGGAAATGAAGGATGATTATGTGTTTGAATGTGAAGTTGGTAATCAGCTTCAAAAAACAAAACTGACCATTTTTCAGTCTCTTGGTAATCCCTTGTACTACGGCAAAATTCAGACACTCAAAGGTGATGAGGAAAATGACAGCCTTTTAACTCCATCACAGTAAGTTACATGTTCCTTTTTAAATTATGCTGTGATCAATAGGTGGAGGAAAACAAACATTACTTATCATTTTCAGTCACAAAAATACTCCAGAGCTAGAAGTCTGATTTAAGATGTTTTAACCAAAAAAAGCACCAAACCAAATTGTGTACAAGCAACCATCATATTTCAAATGTGCTATTATGTTAAATTAGTACATTCTTTTACGTTAAAGATACATTGAGGGGAAAATAAGACCACCAGCAAATCCAATCATGAAAATGGTGGAGACACTATGAGATGTTGTTGCACTCTTTTTTTTGATGATACTCGGAATTTTGATTGTTCTCAAAATTTGCCTGAAGCTATGAAAGCATAAGACGTGACTATATTCTGTTTACTCTTAGATCCAGTTGAACTAAATAAATGAAGAAAAACATGAGCCTCTAAGAAGCTTCATAAGTTTGGATTGTTTGGAATATGCTGGTTTTGGCTGTGGTTCTACAAAGATTCTCTGTTCTCAGCTTTTCTTGTTATATATACCAGATTATTTGTGTAGAAGAACCCGTGCAGCAGGGTAGAGCCTATAAATTTCAGTAAGGCAAGGAGCAGTGAGACTGAGCAAACCTTTTAGTTCTGCTAACTAAAGTTATTTTTATCTTCTAGTATGTAATCATTCTCTTATTCTTTATGAAAGTCTTAAAACATCTTGAGTGTTAAGAATATTTTATCCCTACACTTCAGCTATTTACTGTTTCTTTCCATACTGTTGTTTAACCCCAGCTGGCAAGCACTCGCTCCCTCCTTCTCCAGCCTCCCTGGAGGGATGGGGGAAAAAGTAGCAAGGGTAAAAGTGAGGAACCATGTGGGTTTGGGATAAGGACAGTTCAGTAGGTCAAGGAAAACCCACACATGCAAGCAAAGCGAAACAAGGAATTCATTCACCACTTCCCATGAGTAAGCAGGTGTTTTTGCCTGTCTCCAGGGGGGCAGGGCCCCGTCACACCTGTTGGTTACTGGGAAAGACAAATGCCTTCTCTCGAAATGCTTCCCCCAGTCCTCTCTTCCTTGTTGCTTTGTCTTTATATGCTGAGCGTGGTGCTGGATGGTATGGAATATCCCTTCCTTTGGTTACTTGTGTCAGCTGTCCTTGCAGTGTCACTTCTCCACTTCTTGTACACCCCCAGCCCTTTTGCTTGTGAGAAACCTTTGTTGGTACTGCTTAGGAATAGCTAAACACCAGTGTATTACCAACACTGTTTTTAGCACAAATCCAAAACACCCCTGTGTCAGCTACCGTGGTGAAAATTAACTCTACCCCAGCCAAAACCAGCACACATACTTAGTACTCATCTTCCTGGAATAGTACTGGCTTAGAGTTGTGTAATAAGCTGGGAATTAATGAACTTAAATGAATTGAATTAATGAGATGCGTGGAAGGTTTTGGAAATCATTGCTAAGACACTAACAATTAAAGTTCATCAAAGCTTGGTTAACTCGTCTGTGGCAAACTGTCATATGAAATGAAAGATGAAGTAAACATTTTTGTTGTTCAGTAAAATTTTATTTATTTTTTTTTTGGCGCTGGAGAAAGAGCAACCTCTCTAAATTTAAAAAAACATAGTAGTAAGTTTGAAAGTCATAAGTGTTAAGCAAAATAGAGATACTTACTTAGGAGGTCTGGAAAATCACGGGGAACTGGAATAAATGAAATCAAACAATGGAAACTCAGTGTTTGTTACAATATTATGCATAGGGCTGTTTTTGACCTCCCCCCAGCACACTTGTATTTCAGTCTGAGTGTACTGGTATGATGTTGATTTATACATCTTTTCCTTAGTACTTTTTATGCTAATAATTCTATAGCAGTTATTCACTTCATTTTTTTAAATATAAAATCCAAAGCTTCTATATTCTGCCTTTTGCTTTGTAGGTAATTTAGTGTTAAAGGAGACCGTATTAGATCGTGTGTATATTGTCTATATAGTTAGGAAGTCAAGTGTGTATTTCAAATGCTGAATGATACTCAGTCCATTGAATGGATACATTATCATTTGTATTTTGAGCAGGTGTGAAAAAAACACAGCACTACCATTTGTTTGAAGCCTTGTGATTATAAAAATACATTCTTTTAGTCCAATTCATGACTGAAAATGTACTTTTCATTTTAGGTTCCTTATTGGTTCGAAGACTGATGCTGAAAGGTAAATTAATACAGTTTTACAGCTATTTGGCTTGATGACATGTAATAAATTTTGTTCCTTTTTGGCAGCTATGACTGCCAGTGTTATGGTTATGGAAGCAGATGCAGAACAAAGGAGGAAAATTAAGATGAATTAGTCATCATTACAAGGAGTAGTGTGTAGTTTCTGTATTTAACAAGCAAGGAAAAATAGAGGACATCAAATACATGAGTACACCTGAACTCTGAGAGCACTTAGCAATAATTTCATCCTGACATTTGGTATGGTAAGTTAGCAGTCATGGAAATTACTCATTTGAACTTGTCATTTGACAAGTAATCAAGGGTTTAAGATTTATACATCTTAGTTTTGTGTTTTGTGCATGTCTTGATTCAGCTTTCCCAGGGAAGCAAATAATAAAACAGTTTTTCAGTATATTTTAGTTGTAGATTGAGTAGGAGTAGTAATTCAGGGAAAACTGAGGCAGCAAAATAAGTGGGTTTTAAGTGTTTGTCAGCATACATCATGTTAGATTGCCTGTGCATATAAGCACAGAACCTTTAAAAAGCAGCCTCTGTCAGAGCCGGATGTGTTTTTGTGCCTCTGGCTGATGTACATGCCATAGCTCTTATCCCCCACACACCCTTATGTTCCTGGCAGGGAAATGAGTCTTTGATTTGATCACAAGTGTTAATAATATAATAAAAATAATAATAATGTTATTTTTTTAAAATAGGTAATTTTGATCAAGAAACTTTTTGCTTATATTCTCTCCTGCCTCCTTTGTGCTGATACTTTTCCTGCTTGTTCTGTAAGCTGAACTGGGGAGATTGGCTGGCTGAAAAGTAAAACAACAATATTACAAGAGCTTAGTTTTAACTGGGATTGATTGCCTGTTGATGTTTGTCACTGGGTTGCAGTGGTCACAAGTCCTTTCATCAGAATAAGCAACAGGGTTTCGGGGACAACAAGAAGAAGAAACAGTAGAGGAGTGCAGGACCACCTTTTAGAGTGGATGGTGTTTTACTACCCTGATTCCAGGGATTTTTAAGTCAGTCTGAAATCTAACTGCTAAAATAAGTGCACTTCCCCCTTTCCTCTGCCATGTGTGTCACGGCCCTTTCTTGTGTCTGTATTAGTCAGGTAACAGAATATGACAGAAGCAGGGCTGTATTAAAATAAAGAGTATTTCATCGCATTTTGGTGTGAGGTAATGGAAATATTCTACCATGTTTTCACTGAGGTCAAGTCTGCCAGAGTGTAAGTGACCACAGCACTTCAGCTTTATATTTCAAGGTCATTCTGTATATTCCTCATGTTTGTGAAACAGTATGCCCTCAACTTGGTTGTCTTCAATTAGTAGAGATGTAGTATTTGACTCAGTTTGATAGAACAGTATTGTAAACTGGTTTGCCTGATGCTTTATCAAATGTCTGTTACAATGCTCACAGAGGAGCAGGATTGTTCAGCCCTTGCATTTAGACTCCTCCTCTGACATAGACCTCAAGCTGATGGAGGGTTGACTGTTTCACAGGCAGCATAACCAGAAAAGACACCTTTTTTTATAAAAGATTCTGGACCTCTGTAAAAAAGGGGAAATGGGATACCCATTGACTGACATCCCAAAGATCTGCAGTTGCTTTTGGGAATGCTATTGTTTTCCATACTCCTCCAATAGAGTGTTTCTCACACTGTATTTTGCATTAGAAAAAAAAGAGATTGAAAGTTAAAATGGAATAAATCTAAGAGCCCAGGAATATAACGTAGAAAGACACAAAGAGGCATAAATATGTTTTATGTATGTGCATCTCTATTTTATATAGAGATATGCTTACATAATATTTAAAATATATGACTATAACTATACAGTTACGTGTTTAAGTATCTACTTTTGAAGTTCAAAGTTGTTAACCTTTTTATGTCCTTATTGTTTGTTTCAGGGTGGTGAACCAGTACCAGGAGTTAGTGCAAAATGAAGCTAAATGTACTGTGAAAATGTTTCATAATTCAAGTGGATCAGCCAGTCATCTTTCTCCAGGGAAGGAAATAGAAGTGAGTTTATCAAGCTACACATTTCTTTTGTTTGTGCTTAATTATTAAATTATTAGAAATTTTTTGCTATCCACGTTTAACAGTAAAATAACCTAAAAATGTCATCCTGTATGAATATTTAAATGCATTATGGTCATGATCATTCAATGTGAATGATATATTGGAAAAGTTAGTGGGAAGCATTTATGTTTTCAATGTTCCAATGTCGTCTTTTAACAGTTTTGAGGGGTGGGGGTTGGCTGTGTATCATGTAGTTAGCTCCAAAGTTTTGTTCTAGCATTTTCCCCTGTTCAGGTGAACCTTTCATAGAACAGTATAGTAAAATGCAGCTGTGTGTCTTGTTTTTCAGGTCAGTAAACACAGAAGCAGTTGGAGTAGCTGAACTTCTTTTACCTTTAGAAACTCAAATTATTTCTCTTCAATTTGAAGAGAAAAACTTAAAATAAACCCAAACAAAAAACAATACAAACAAAAGAAACAAAAAGCCAAAGGCAAAAAACCCCTCAAACATACAAAACACCACCAAAAAATCTTCCAAAACACAAACTCTAACAACCTTAAATTGTGTATGTTTACATGCACACACATTTCTGCATTTCCAGTATAAATTCTTGCATTCCCGGATTTCCTGCCTGTTGGCACTGCCCTGCGTGTTACTTGGTTCTTCTGGCTTTGTTTGGTCAGAGTCACTACTTCAGCTGTGAGCTGTATGTTATGCTCCAGCTAGTAAATGAGATTTGTATCCCCTGGGGTGTTTTCTTTGTGACATCTTTCCCCTGAATACCTACTTAAAAACTCCAGCAGTGTTTTTCTGAAGGATATAGTTCCTGGTGCCAGGCAGACCAGCAGCATTCCAAGGCCAGCAGCTGCAGAAAGGATTATGAATGTTTATGTGTATGTGTGCACATATACAAACATGTACATGCATGTGTGTATATATACATTAAAATCATATAATAAATGGGGTGGAAGGGTTCTTGCTAAAGTCAACCTGTCTGCCTGTCCAAGCCCCTGCCAAAAGCTGGGCCACAGTTACTCAGGTTACTGTGTTCAATAATATAGTCACGGTTGGAATGGAGCATTGGTCTTTATTTCAAAAATCAAGAAAGCAGATTTTAATAGAACAGAAAGGCAGTCCTCAGAATTTTCCTCATAAGATTCTTTTTTATAAGCAAGCAATTAGAAACATGTAGAGGGACTGTCTCTTATTACTGAGAATCAGTGGAAGTTAAGCGCACCGAACAGGGATTCTGCACAATGCTCTGATTTCTTAGCTCATACACATTTAATTGAGGCTCCAGTATTGAAATATTCCATTCATATATTGCTAGCCTCATTTCCTACTTTCAGCAGTTTGCAAACTGTACATTTGTTTGTTTAAACTATATTTACATTTATGGATATCTGCTATAAGGTAAAAACACATAGACTGTAACTGTGAATGTGTTTCACTGTTGAGTCTTTTGACAGTGTCAGCTATTGGAATTGTGGATTTAGAGTGTGTTGTGGTGAGAACTACAAACTCAAGGAGGTGAAGTAGATATATGTTCAGAAAACCTGATAATTAGGATATAAGAATAAACAAAAAGCCTGTATTTTCCCTCTAAGAATATGAACTTCTGGTCCCACTGAAGCCAGTGGGGAAATGTGTCTTGATTTCATTCAGGATTTTCCTGAATTTATTTGAAATCCTGCTCCCAGGATGAAGAATTCTGATTCTGTTTTTTAAGTCTGTCTTGGTTAAAAATGGCAGGTATATACAGAATAAATGAATGGAATTACGTAATTTTGCAAGTAAACCTTGAATGTTTTATTATTTCAAGTGTGTTTATCACTTTTTTGTTTGAAAAAATTACTACAAAAAATCCAGAATTATGGAGAAAAGTGAAACTCTTTATTTTACTTGTTTTTCTGTTCAGTTTAAATTTGTAGTAGCACTTTGGTGCTGCTTCTTGCTGGAAAAAGACTTTATCTAAAGAGAATTCATCATAGGTTATTTTTTTTAAATAAATACATAAGCATCTGAAATGTCTAAAAGGGATTTTGTCGCAGTTCTGAGAAGCCTTAATACAAATCAATTGAACTGTCTTTTCTGTCAATTGTATGGAAGCTCTCATCATTGCTGTGGTTGTGTTAATTTCTCTTTCCTCCCAGCAGCCAGAAAGTGTATCAGGCTCTGTTCAGTCTTCAGTACTGGGGAAAGGTGTAAAACACCGACCTCCTCCTATCAAATTACCTTCAAGTTCAGGAAGTAGCTCTTCAGGTAATTATTTTTTGACTCAAACATCTCATTTGAACATGTTCTGCCTGTTGTAAAATGACAGGATATCCCTTTAGTAAAGATTTAACAAAAGAATACCAGCATCTTATGTGTGAGAAGAGCATGGGTTTTTGTGGGGTTTTCTTCTTAAATTTCTGATTATATTGTTCACAAAATTGCATCCTAATATTCATGTTAACATAAATAGTAATGTATTTTAGAATACATATAGATAATGTATTTTGATAGTATTGTATTTTGTAGTAATGTATTTTGATAGTATTGCATTGTAATGATACAGAATAGTAATGTATTTTAATGATGTTTTTTCAGGTAATATTTTTAGTTCTCAACAGTCAAGTGGCCATCTAAAATCCCCAACTCCACCTCCTCCTTCTAAGCCTCCTGGTCTTTCTCGGAAACAATCTATGGATCTTAATCAAGTTAGCATGCTCTCTCCCGCTGCCTTGTCTCCTGCGAGCTCTTCACAAAGTGAGTCACGACCTAAATTCTCCATTAAATCTTAGGCTTTTGCATAAATGCTTCCTGAGATAAACTTCTTAACCTGTGGAATGATGAAACTTAAGTGTACAGTGTACCCTAAATTGTATAAGTTGTGCAGCTTTAGGCAGGTCTCTTGTTCACTGTATGTATTTTATGTTTATTGTAACTGTGTTCGTTTTCTGTATATATATGTATGCACCCTCTGTGTATACGTTTTAATACATTTTGTGCAATTAGCATGATTTCCTCATATATGAAAGGCTGGTAGATGATGTGATGAGATAAAATTCCAAAGTGTAGATTTTTTTCCTCCAGTGTAAAAACAGTATGTTAGATCAATTTGCCTTTACATAATTTAAGCATCTGGTTTTTTAAATGTTATAGGAACTGGTGCAGTTGTGTATCTATGTATGTATATAATCTGATCAGTCCCGAGGTGATGATACAATAAACGATAAGATCATTTTTTAAAAACACTCCTACACTGTTTTACAAATCATTGCTGATTGCAAGTGTGGTGGTGATGCTGCTGATGATAGCACCGTATTCTCAGGTGTTAAAATGCAAATTTCAGTCAGAAGTGACATCCTAGTTAAAGTATTTTTGTTAACACTGACAGGATCATTGTAATCATAGCTGTAGATCATAAACGTTTTCTTAAACATGTATGCGTCTTGAGCCATTTCGTGAACAGATCTGTACAAAGAGGAATTCATAGCTGCAGCTTCTCAGCTTTTTTATGAATAATTGTATACTGCACATTCCAGTATCCTGCATGATATTATAATACACTTTTTGCATTAAATAATTTAAAATCTGGGTAGCTCAAAAGGTGTAACTTTTCTGCCTTCTTGTTTTGCACAAGATAAAAAAAGAAAACTTAGAAAAGTTTTCTTCCAAAATAGTGAGTCTGGTTTTATGTTAGTAATATGAATTGTGTAAATCTGCTGCACACAGTTGTTACTTTAAGGCTCTGGTCATCATTCATATTTATTTCCTTTCTTTCTGCAGGACATGAAAGCTAGGGAGAAAAAAAAAAAAAAAAAAAGGAAAACCAAAAAAAACAGCTCAAGCTTTTTGGGGGTTTTGTTTTGTTTTCTTTTTTTATTGATAGACTTTGCCTACTGCATCCACAGCAAATACAGCTGTATGTGCTACATTTAAACAGAGGGAATTACACAGTAGCTTTTAGAGATGCAGTATTGTCCTCTGGTTCTTAAATATATTAATAGTTGCTTTTTATTTGGTTGATACTTGGAAAATGGCAATTTGACTATCTGATGAAATTTAGATCAGCCCATTGATTACTGAAATTGTACATAATCTTGCTGACTCTTGTTTTCTATGATATGTTTTTGACACAACCTATTGTGCAGGCAGTACATGGATACTGATTGTTTAACAGTTTAGGACAAGCATTAATTAGGTTAAAATGGTCACTAAGATACTATTTTAAGTATTCCTGAATAAAATTATGACTTAATGTATGATAGATTATGGAAGCCTTAACGGAAAATAGAAATTGGTGTATGCCACAAGGAATGAAGCATGGAGAATGGATTTTCTTTGTGATTATACTGCATCCTTAACAATGAGTGTGTGCTGCAACACTTGTCATATAGAAATTAACACTTGCAGTCTAAAAAACGGAAGAAATTGTCAGTGCTAAGTAAGATTCCATTAACCTGATTATACAAAAAGGACTGGCCTCTTATAACAAACTAGCACTTTTTATTTTTCTCAATGAGCAGGGTCTGGAACTCCTAAACCATCTACTCCTACTCCAACCAACACCCCTTCATCGACCCCACACCCTCCTGATGCTCAGAGCTCTACTCTTATTACCCCTTCTGCCACCCCTACTCCCCAAGATTCAGGCTTCACCCCTCAGCCCACTTTGTTAACCCCGTTTGCTCAGCAGCAAATGTCTCTGAGCCAGGCACTGCCTGTAATGACCATTCCTCTTTCCACCATGGTAACGTCCATTACTACAGGAACAACCTCCACCCAGGTCATGGCAAACCCTGCAGGACTTAACTTCATCAATGTAGTGGGCTCTGTGTGGTAAGTCTTTCATTATGATGGTTTCTTAATTTGCCACAGGGGTTGGTTGGTGGGAGGGGGTGTGGACCAGGACTGTCCACCATCCATTAGGGTAAATATTTTTCAGGATCTACAATACAAAAGAGATCACTCACTTTATAATTACAAACTGAAGAGCCACTAGAAACTATTTGTATTTCTCAAATAGAAGTCACCTACTATTACATTATTGAAAAGATCTGTTAAGAAAGGCTTTTATTGCTTTCATCTTTTTGGAGTTATATAGGCCCATTCCATAATGCTTTATCTCAATTTAAGTGATTTCTGAGGTTTTGCTCTGCAAGTCTGGAAATTTTTTTTTATTAATCACAGAGAAGGTAGAATATTATATGCAGATTAGTATAAATGAAAAATGAGAACAGATTTGTTTCAATCAATTTAAAAAAGCATTGAGGTGAAATACTCTTTGATTCTTAAAAGTCATTTTCTGATTTAAAGAAAATAATAAGTACTGTCAAGAATAGATTGTATGGTATAATATGAACATAACATTGTATGGTATAACTGCTTTTTAGACTGAGGAAAATTCTGCAATTACGATGGTCAGTGTAAGACACAGTGTGCTTCAATGCAGGTATCAGACATTCAAATTATCCAGCTAAAGTGTTCAGCAGTTGGTCACTGTTGATAAATTGGACTCTTTTTTAGAGGGCAAAAAGAAAATGCAAACCTGTTACTTTTATAATACCCATTTGAAGATTGTTGACCTTTTAGTATTTCTAGAATGAAAGGACCACTTGTGGTTTATTTTTATCAGTTGATATCAAAGAAGAAAAAAACCAGTATATGCTCATAATATGAAATAGATGTTATACTCTAGGCAAAATGATTTTTTTTTTTAAGCTGCATTGGTGCTTTAGCTGCAGTCCCATAATTTACAGCAAGCAACTGGTTTATTTGCCATGAGACAGAGGGCAACAATTTAGTTATTGAGATTTACTTGTGCCACTTGGGTTTGATGTGTTGTCTTTCCTCTTCTACAGTGGAGCACAGTCACTGATGAGTGGTTCAAACCCTATGTTGGGGTGCAACACTGGTGCCATAGCCCCTGCAGGTATAAATCTGAGTGGCATTTTACCCCCAGGAGGTCTGGTACCAAGTGCGCTGCCCGCTGCAATGCAGTCTGCCTCTCAAGCAGGTCAGTGTGACTGAGTGGAAATGCCACCCTTCAGACAGGGACAGTGTGAAAACATTTTGTGAGAAAAATGGACTGAAGTGGCCATTGTGTGAAGAGGTTGTGTATTTAATGGCTGGCGCTCATCAACAACATACATGTTTTTGTATTCAAGGTGTAGGCTGTATTGGAGATTATTTGAAGCTGTTTTTTTGGTGAGCTAGGCTGGGAATACACAGTCAAAACCTGGGTTGTTTGGTGTGCTCAGCAAGAAGTTTGAGAGAAACTCCAAATTCAAATGCAGTTTTGATAATGATGACTGACAGAAAAAAGGCATGATTGAACTTAGAAACAGGCCTCACTTTTTAAATGTGTGGGGCATTTTATTCTGGCCCTGGTACTACTTTACTCCTGTACAACAATTAAGTAGTCCCCTATTGCCTTCAAATGCAACAATATAAATCTTAAAAGCACAATTTAAATTATCCATTTATTTTTTTCTGAATATATAAAGAAAAAAAGTCTTAACATACGGTTATAGAATGAAAACAGTAGACTTCAAGATATCCATCCCTTACACTAAGAGTCAAACCTGTCTAAGCCATACTGAAGCAATGTTTATCTAAATTGTTTTTTAATACCTTCACTAAAGAAGATTCTAGTCTTCCTCAGTAGCTGAGTAGTTTGGAGTGGTTCATTATCCATGCAAAATGTTTCCTTCTAATTACAGTGCATCTCCTGAATTGCAATTTTTTTTTCTCCGTGAAAAAAACGTGAAAAATAGTTGTTCACTCTTTCTCTTTACCTTCTAAATATCAAACATGCTGTCATGTCCCGCATTTGTCTTCTCTTTCTGATAGGTCGTATTTTTCAAACCTTTCATAATCCTGTCACTCTTTTCTAGACTGTCCAATTTGCTTACATCCTTCTTAAAATGTGATAACCAAAACGGGACACAAGCTTGAGCTTGGCTGATTTACCACTGTGGAGCACAGCAGAATAAATGCATCTCATCTCTTTCACAACATTCCTGTTAACATTTCCCCAAGTGAGGTCTGCTTATTTTTTATCTGTATTTTTTGCAACAGCATTACCTTAAGATAAGAATGGCTTTACTGGTTTAGGCCAAAAATCCATCCAGTCTATATTCTGTCTCTGACAGTTGCCATTAGAGGGTACTGAGGAGAGCATTTGAGATGAGGCAAAACTGTGAAATGAAACATCCCATGTCTACAACTGTACCTCTTCTGGCAATCTACAGCTTTGAGACTTTCTCAGCTGAAGAATATCCACATGGATCTTTGTGCTTAATATCCTGTGATAGATTTCTAGTCTGTGGATTTATCTAATTGGTTTTTGAAACCACGTGTATTTTTGGAATCTCTACAGCATCTTGTGACAGTGAATTTTATAAATGTAAACTGTGTGAAGAGGTTCTTTTGTGTGCTCTGTAGTTTGTGATATGGATGATTTGGATATGTTTGTGACCTACTGTAACTTGTCATGTCCTTTCTTGCTGTATAGACACAAAGATAGTTAAAATTTCGTACTTAGTCATTTGTCTTTTTTTAATTCAGTGTTACTGAGCTTTGGACCATTTCTTCAATTCACGAGGATCACTTTTAGTCTACTTCTGTCCTTTCAAGCACTGTCAACCTGTGTTGTCACAGATTTGTACATGCTGTGCTGTCACCCACACAACAGATGCGAGTAGTGAGCTGAGCTAGGTCTGTGCCAGACCTCCAGGGCTTCTGTTTGATAGCTGCTGTCTTACTGGAGCATTGCTCAGATTTGGGGTGGGACTGTTTTCTGTTAAAGATTGATAAGACTGTTTTACTTAATTGAGCCCTTGGACTTTTTTGGATTTACTGTACAAACAGTAAAACTTTATAAAGGCAGAAGAAGGATCACTGAAAACTAACTGCTGTGGTGTTCTCCACAATCACCTTTATGTAAATGCATGAACAGGTTACAGGTCACAGTGTTACCTAGTGATAAAAGATTGCTTTCCACTTAGTCAGTTCTTGTGCACTTGGAGTCTGAATAACTATAAGCTGTATTATGGAAAATGCAGCATTGTATTAAGTTTACACTTAATTTGCACTTGCCACTATTACACTTGTATTATACTTGTGTTATTATACACTTAATATTAAGTTCACACACAATTTACGCTTGCCAGTTTTCCAACTTCCAGATGTTTAGAAATAGTCCCAACGGAAAGGTATACTGCAAAACACAAATACAACTGATGAAAGACACACTACTAATAAAAAGATGTTTTCTTTAACAGGCAGCCCATTTGGTTTGAAAAATACATCAAATCTTCGGCCCTTAAATCTTCTACAGGTAATTGATATACTTGGAACACAATAATAATTTCTTATCTTTCTGTAGAGACCTACTTAGTGCTGCTTACTGCACTGCCCTACACAGATCTTTGGAGCCAGTTGGCCAGACCATTTACTACAAATCTTAATTGCATATTTAAAAGACTCAGAATAAGAGAACAGACTACTTCCATAGAGATACCAGGTGGAAGTTATATTTCTAGCTCAGAAAAAAGGATATAATTCTCAGCAACAATATAAAGATGCTGACATTTGGATTCAAAAGATTAAAAAAAATACAATATTTCAGGATTTGCCCAAGGTTTCATTGCAGATCATTCTTTATACTAAAGTTACAATTATACTGTACAAAACAGTGTAGTAGAATCGTTCAGAGGTTACACGTAGAATGCCTAAAAGCCAAGCTCAGCACGCACAGGTAGGTGCAGTAATAGGTTTAAAGAATTTTTGATAATGGAAGTGGAAGTTCAGGTAAGATGGGGACTTTAGAAGGTCTGTAAATGCTTTCTTTACACTAAGCATACAAATACAAACACGTGCAGATGTTTATTATGTCAGAGTTGCATTTAAATGCAGAACAGGGATTATTTGTGGAACTGGATGGAGTTCCCAGACCTTGAAGTCAGCTGCCAGGTGCAGATGCAGGTGCAGAATTGCAGCTTCAGTGTTCCACATAAGTTGCACCACGCTTCAAAAAATTACTACCAGCTTCGCTACTTCCTCTTCCCACTCCTGTATACTCCAGAAACATGGAAAAGGGCAGGCACAGGAGGCAGTTATGCCTGAGTAGAGCTCTTCTGTAGAATTAAATATTTCAGTGATTCCATGTTGAAGGACGTCCTTTCAAACTCGCTCTGCCACTCATATAAACCAAGAACAATTCAGCTGAAATACATGCAATTAAAGCTGAGGCAAAGGAGAGGAATCAAGGCCATTTCACTATCTGTTAAAATTCAGTGGAATATTCTGAAAGTGGAAATTTATATACAATGCTGTTGAAGACTGGCATTCATCTTTCCAATATCAGTACGGTATCTGCCATTTTAATTAAAATGTATTTTCCTATGGAAATATCTTTCTATAAGTTCATGCAAGTTTGTTTTCAAAGCATGAGTCTTTTTTACAAACAGCATCAATTGTAAACTAATTTTAAAGCCATTACAAAACAAAAATCAATCCTCTACGAAGTATATCACGATCAATACCATGCTCATCCTAGAACAGTAGAAAACTCAGCAGTTTGATTGAATTATGCCTTTTGTTTTTAATCTTCAACAGCTTCCACGTGGTTCACTTATTTTTAACACACCCCAGCAGCAGCTGTCACAGTTTTCTCCACAGCAACAATCTCAGCAGCCTACAACCTGTAGACCTCAGCAACAGGGAGAACAGGTGTGTGCTAATAGCCCTCAGTCTGGGGTGCGTGGATGAAACAGCTTCTCCTATTCTCCCCATCTCCACAAGTAAATGAGCCATTACCCAATAAATCTGAAGCAGAGGGGGAGGAAAGTCTTTCTCCTAAACTTCCTCAAACAGCAGACTGCAGTGGCTCTGTTGCTATGGCTGGAGTTGGGTTATACTTATTTATTTATATCCTGTATAGAAAGGCTGTAACAAAACAAGTGGTTGAGCATTGTTTAACTCTGTCATGAAGGCAGCCAGCCCCACCGTATGAATGGTGGAAAATCAGCTTAGTGCTGGTTTTTATGACTAACAGATGTATCAGATGAACAGGGAAAAAATGCAGAGTTATTAGAGTAACCAAAACTTGTTACTGACACTGCTGTGAGTTGGCTTACAACCCTCACTGCTCTAGTTCAGCAGAATTTTCCTTGCACCAAAGGGGAAAGATAATTTGTTTTTAAAGCTGTAATCATAAGACATTTGCTGTACTGCTGCCTGTAATTAGTGTTAAAAGCTTTAATCACTGACAAAGTCCAAAGTCTTGATAGAGACCGATCCATCCTCAAAATGACAAGTTTTGAGTGGTCAGTTGTACCTTAAACATCCTAAGGTAGAGGTACCAGGTTAATACTTAAAAATCCTAACCAACATTGATGCAGCAGTTTGAGAAAACCAGCTGCTCTGCTTTTGTGCTCATCTTCCCAGACATGCAAGCCTTCACCAAATACTCTCTACTGGATACTCAAGTTTGTTATAATTTCACCTATTTCACACATTTATAATTTCACATATTGTAAACTGTTCATAAATAAGATGCCTCTTTCTAATTTTTTATGGTATACAGCCTCCTGTGCCGTAGGCCTTGTTCTGGATGGTGGGTCAGTTTAATGGTTTTATAGGAAACTTTCCAATTTGTACACAGCATCTAAATCTCTGAATGTCAATTAGTAGTTGTACTACTTAAAAAAAAAATCATGGGACCTTGTACTGTTGGGTTTTATTTTCTAGATATTTAACATCAAGGGCATTTACAAAAAGGCTGATGTAGGCATAGTCCTTCTTGTGGCAGAAAGTTCTTCTGGAGAAAATCCATCTCTGCATTGGTTAAATTGCCCAAAGGAACTTCTCTCATACGTTGCATTATAGAGGAGGGGGACATTGGCTAAAATGAGCTGTTATGAACACTAGATTCCTTGGCTTTCATAAGGACAGGAATGTATGTGCTCATAGTGCTTAGTGAAAAAACATAGGTCCAAAAGCAACAATAATTTTCTGTGCTACCAATATAATGTAAATAGGCATTCTCTCACATACTTGGGGATTTTCCCCACATGGTGGTTCTATGATTCTTAGCCATCGTGGAGGTGATGTGCAATCTTTTGGTCTGGTTTTCCTAGATCTTAGTGCCATTGTAATGTAATGCTAAAGAAGCATTACAACTCCTGGACAGCACCAGCTTTTTTCTGACTGATAATCCATGCAGTTTTCTCAAATTGTGCATATAATGCTTTATTTCCCCGTGTTATAAATCAATGCATAATTTAAGTTATAGAAGAGGTCATCATTCACCACCCTTTGACTTCAGGAGACACTAAGTCAGACTCTACTAATTCCATTAAAGTGATTACTGTGAAAATTACTCTGTTCTGAAAATACAGTTTTAAAAGTGGGGTCTGTATTTTTATGAATTAAGGAGTGTGTGGTAAAATATGAACATGGAAATATGTCAGGCTTTGCACACTTTGATTAGGACCTTTGCACATGGATATCTCAGGGTCCCCTGAAGACTTTGGGGCTGGGAATGGGACAGAAAATTGTCGTATGATTACAACCATAAAGTGCAGTCTCTGGTAGACTGCAGAAAACAACCACAGTGTGGGACTTGTGCTGGGTAACAGGAACAATACCATTTCTGCCAAAACAAAGCTGTTCTGGGGTATTCTGTTGTGACTACACCATAGCCTACATCTACACGCACTGGATGAGCATTAAATGTTTTTAAATGGCACTTAAGAAGTTTGCCTCACACTGGCTTTATTTGCTTATTCACTGATAATGGAAGTTTGGTAATAAGGATCAAGCTTTTCATTTTTGCTAGGGGTCTGACCAAGGTCCATCCAATCAAGATCAGGCATTATCTGCCCAACAAGCTGCTGTAATTAACCTGACTGGAGTAGGGAATTTTATGCAACCTCAAGCCACAGGTATGTGCTTGCTGAGCTTCCTTTTGTAGCTAAGTGTTTATGTTGGTAAATTCACACTGAGATGAAGTTTGGTCTTAAGGAAGTCTTATGTTAGATTGGAATGATTTACTGTTTATTATCAGGACATGAATTCTCTGAGAAATACTCGACTCCTAAAGCATGCACTTCTCTGCTTTGTTGGGCAGTTAAGTGCCATCAATTAATAGTATCACAAAAAAACCAAGTTACACTTAAAAAGAAAATGAAGGGAACATCATGCCAGACTTCATTAAGGAACGTTTCTTTAACTGTGTGCTTAACATCCAGTGTGAGAAACCTTTGTATCTCCACAAGCACTTCATAATCTAATTATGTCCTAACTAGCAGAGTATGTATATGATGTATACTTTATTCTGCACTGTTCTCAATTTGACTCTGAAACTAATCTATTGATCCCCCTTTCCTGTTACATTGTATTCCTATGTCTTCCTCCCCTGACCAACTCAACCTGACCTCTTTGACCTGCCTGCTTTCCCCTTCTCCTTTCTCAGTGTTGTCTCAGCTTGGCTCTGCCGTGAACAGACCTGGGCAAAGCCTTCCTCAGCAGAGACTCCAGCTCTCTTCTGCCTTGCAACAGCAGCAACAACAAGCCTTGCAGCAGCAACAGATACAAGTAATCCAGCAACTTCACTCTGACTGTGTTTAAAAAAAATTAAATTAAAAATACAATTCTTGGCTCCAAAATCAAAAATTTGCCCTTTTGGGCTCTCTTTTTAACTAATGCAGTTAAGGTCTCGCAAACTGAAGGGAAAAAAACCCAAAACAACACAACGAACATGTATTTGGCAAACCATCATGCAAGACCTGAAATCTGTGGTTCTCTCAGCTTGGAGCACTGAATTTATTTTTATTTGTTTAAGCCCTCCACCTTCCTGATTTGCAAACATTCAAGGGGTGCTTGTGGCACATACCTAAATACTATATAGACCAGGTGCCAAGATTTCAAAATGGCATGGATGTAAGCACCTGGAAGTTCAAATGTAGCACTGCTACAGTCAGTACACGGCAGCAAGAGCTTTGCAAAGCATTCCTTTACCATTCAGATGCTTCGTGAAAATATTTTAGCATTTTTTTAGCACACAGTCTCCTCTTCCTAATACATACAGAAAATTCATATGATGCATACACTGAGAAGATACCAAATTAAAAAAGGTACTGTGTAACCCAAACACTCAGTGAAGTTGCTGAGTTACTGCAGTTACTGCAATGAAGGGAAAAGGCAAAGAAACAAAGCTGTGCACATTCACATGTAAAATGTTAGCTTGTGCCCTCAGCAGGCTTCTGTGCCACTGGTGCTGCTTGACTGTACCTATTACTCCAGTACATGGTGTGTTCCTTTTGTTAACCCGGTGCTTCCTCATTTTTTCTCTCCCCACCCCTTCATTCTTCCTGATGTGAAACCTTTATAGTCAACACTGACAAGCTTTTTCTCCCTTCTCCTCCATGGCAGCAGTTGCGATTCTTGCAGCATCAAATGGCTATGGCAGCGGCAGCAGCACAAGCAGCTCACCTGCATCATCAACAGCATTCAGGCAGCCACTCAAAAAGTAAAAGGAAGAGAGGCACACCAGCCCCTCCAAAATCATGAGACTTGCCTCCCCCCAAAAAAAATTTGAAGGGTTTGGGTTTTTTTCAGATTATTAAGGAAAAGGCTTAAAATTAAGTTAGTGTTTTATATTACTGGTGGGAAAAGGAACTTTTGACATTACACTAAAATAAATGAACTGATTTTGGAAGCCAACCTTACAGAACTTAGAAATTTCATCTACAAAACTCTAGGATCTGGTTTCCTCAAGTCACTTAATTTTTTAACAGAATGTTTTATCTTGTATTTTTTACCACTCAACAATATTGTACATAGAATAAGGGTGAAAAACATTTTAGAAAAAATGAACTTTGTAAATGTAGTATTGATATTTGTTTATTTAGTATAAAAGGTTTGTGAACACTGTAACAAATACAATTTTTACAAATCCATTTTTGAAAAGAGCTCTCTTTTTGTTCACTTGGGTGTTATACTTTTTATTACTTTGTCTATCAGCTTCTTTACTTCTTTGTGTCTTGTAATTGCTCTGGTGATACAGTCCTGAAGCTTGGCTCCTGTAAGAGGACTTCCACCTAAACATCGAAGGAACAATTTGATTTTCTATTTATACTTTGGTTACATGTATCTAACTGTGATTCCCAAATGCAAGCATTAATACAGTAATTGTCATTACCAGCACCTTTCACCTGGGGGGCATACACCTTTCCCAGCCCTAGCTTCAGGCAAAGATAATGGAAACAAACAAGAGCTGTAACAGGAGACAAGCCCAGAATTTGTCCTCTGCTGTCATCGCCTTTTGAACTTTAGTCATGCCACCATCCTAAAACTCCTTTCAAGAGCAGCTAATTTAATGACTATTCAAGCAGACACTCTGTTACCATAAAGCACCCGCACCTCACAAAGCAAAGCAGGTACATAACCTTCTCCACCTAACATCATCATCTCCATAGGTTTCTTTGTAGTAAATTCACAAGTACCTGGTTTATGGACAGAACACAGTCTGCCTTCTTCATCAGTTACAACAGTTACTGTTCCAGTTGCTAAATCTTCTTCTTCAGCAGTTGGATCAACGATGAGTAACGTGCTTGTGAAAGAAATGCATGCAGATACATTGGTTTACATTGCTCCATTCATGTTATTTCAAAATACAATTTTTACTGTACTCTTACAAAATACTTGCAGATGGATTTAGTACTCAAGCTGATCTGTAAAATGCACCAATTTAAAAAAAAAAGAAAAAACAAAAAAAAAAATGTGGGAGATTCCACATAATCATGTGTTTATGACTGCGGAAAATAGGCATAAAAGCCGTTTCATAAATTTGTAACAGTGATGTATTGCAGGAAAATACCACTAAATTGCCATTTGCAGCATGCAGTATGAAATATATCAGTCATTATTCTGTAGTTACACCAAAGACTGACATAGGTTTTCGGTGGAGGCTGCACTAATTTCTACCAAACACTTTAAAGCAAAACTCATTTCCAATGGTAAGTTCACCAAAACAGTTCTCAATTTGTTTTCAGTGAACTCTAACATTACTCAGACTGAGAACAGTTCAAAAACAGATTTAGTGGGTTTCTTGAAGCAGCTTATTCTGGCTGTCATACATCACATGAGTAGTTCAATGCATGGCTGTTGATGTACAGGTCACTGCCACAGAAGCAGCTCTGCACCAGTGCTCCTCAGCCATGGCCACGCTAACCAGCAACCTACCACTTCCATTTATTCAAGGAGGCCTTTTATGCAGAAGAAAAATGTCTCTGGAAGCCAGAGTATGTAAAGCATTTCATTGAAAGGGCTGTATCAACAGCTCTAGAAAAATTAAAACAGAATTAAAAAAAAAAAAGCAAACCACACAACACAGGCACACTCCCTCCCTCAACACTTAGTCTTAGGAGCTAAAAAGAAACTTAAGTAACTTGTTTGTTTGATGCAATAGTTGGTTTCAGGGAAGGAAACAAAGCCCAACAGACACTCATGGAAAGCCGCCTTTCCCAGGCAGCTTTCTGGTCCATGTGTAAGTGTGTGTGATTTGTGTGTAATACCCTACTGACAGCTGTCTGCCTAGTATGTTACCCAAATGTTCAGTGTACTGCAAACTGCAGACCCAGCAGAAATGGTATTAAAGCAATTAGCAGAGGCACTCTAAAGTACCAATAATGTCCTGTTCTGATGCATTTTAGTAATCACTCGGTCAACATTTGAGATTATTGCTCTCCCCACCCCATTTGTTATTTGGATAAAAGGCCCTACTAATCATTTCTGTGAATACACATTTATTTGCCATAACCACCCCAACCCCTCCAAACAGACCTAAATCTTGACTAGTACAGTGAGCACTATCCTGTCACTTTCTACTTTCTAAAGGGATGTCGCCAGAAACTACTGCATTTCTTAAAAATAGCAGCAGAACACATCCTTAAAATTCTCAACCTGATGAAGAGCCAGTAAACAGTTTCAGATGAGGAGTCAAGTTATTAGATGTGATTACTTTGAATTCTCATGATCAGATTGTTTTCCTACATGAACAATGACTTAAGCATGCTGGTTACACTTCACCTTGGGTAATTATGTTTTCAGTTATCCAGGGGTTCTATTCTAACTGGGCTGTTACTTCTTACTTCCTTTTTTGACTACATCCTTGGAATAAGCTGTTCAAAATCCCATCTCTTCTATCACTTACTTACACAGGCTTCTAAAACATTAATTGCACTGGTTTTCATCTTAAAGACACTTCAAAACCTAAACCAGTACCCATCCCTGTACTTCTGAGCTTATCTTTCAGGCTGGGAACTGTTTCTGCTGTAAGTCACAGGAAAAAGCTGCAGAGTACAGACTGCACTTTGCTGTGTGCAGTGTGTGCTGTGTGCATTACATCACAGAACTAGAGGCCCCTTCAGTGAGAGAGGCTGTGGATTTATGATGGGTGGAGCAGCATTGCCTGAGGCTCCACGCTGGTCCCTGGCAGAAGTGCAGAAACGTCACTGGTGGCATTCTCTGTCTTTCATTTGTTTTACAGACACTGTTGTTTCCATAAAGTACAAAACCTTTTAGAACTTACTCATCGAATACAGCAAATGATGTGGCAACTGGATGCTTTCTGATAATCAAAGGATTCTTCTGTTTTAAATTAACTTCTGATAAACCAGTTTCTTCATTTATCGTAACCAATGGCAATTGCACTGAAGAGATGAAAAAATTACAATGGTCTAATATTAAACATTGGCTGGGTTTAGCAGGCCTAGAGATGTTGACAACTACTGAAATATTTAAGCTGTTCTTTTAACCCACTGAAAAACAATCAGGATAAAGTTTTACCTATGTTAATGGTACTCTCTACCAAAAAATTCTTCAATTTGTGTAAAGTATTTAACTTAGAACTACCCTTTCAAGGAAGTATTTGATTTTTGTACTCAAGGTACAGAAGCTTTTCTTCTCACACAGAAATATTTTCTACTTCCAAAATGCCACACAATTAAAATACTTTAGAGTCATATTTAACCAAAAGTACTTTTTCCCCAAGTCTACTGGACCTAGGAAGAATTAGGACTATAGCCTCATATCATTAATTTTATATATCTGTAGAAACAGTGCAACCTGACCTTCATCTAATTCTTGCTGTGACAACCCATACATTGCTGGTGACAATGAGGACAAGAGCAAAGTAGCTAGGGGAATTCCAAGGCTGGCTATTCACAGTTAGAAAGGGAGACCTTGCCATAAATCTTCCCTTTAAACTACTGCCTTCATGCATCTATAAGCCACACACCTGTGAACACTCAGTCCACACATTTTTTCACAAACTATAATGCATTAAGCTAGGAAATACATAATGCATTAAGCTAGGAAAGGAATATTCTGTTGTGACAAAGTACTTGTGTAAGCAAAGCCTCCAACAGCTTATCCTGCCTACATTATCCAAAATACGTTATCCAAGTCATACCCTGATATAGATGTTAAACTCGTTCTTGGCCACTGCTGAAAGACTCAGGTATCTGACACCAAAGAACATATTAATCTTTTAAGAAAGCAATGATAAGTGTACAAAAAGACCCTATTTTTCAGGTGTTACACACCTATGGCATCCCACCATAATTTCCACCTTGTAAATGCATTCAAATGACAGGAAACAAACAATCCCATGAATCAGTTACCTACTTAACAGGATTCTAAACTGATGCATTTCTCCAAGCAACACCAATCAGAACATCTCTTACTCTAAGGAAGACTTACCATTTTTTAATGCTGCCAACAAAGCAAAGACACTGGCATCCAGAAGGTTTCCATCATAGTCCAGACATATGATATCACAGTATAACACCCAAGCAAGCTATCAAAAAAGGTTTGCACGTGTGAGTTATTACATCAGCTAAGCAACTGATGTGCAATATATAAGAAAATTCTTGCCACACTAAATACAGATACTCATTTCTATAATTTGATTTTTGCACTTAGGATGTAAACTAAGCTACGAAGACTTAAAAGCAAAAACAACACTAAAACCCCCTATTAATCTTAAATACCTTTTGTATTTGTACTCATGTACAGCTACTGTGATCTTGTTACTATCTTCTTCTTCATTCTGAGATACAACTTACCTTGCCATTGGCAATACACAGATCTTCTTTCACTATCATCTGTGAACTAAAATAAAATGAGAGTAAACAAGAAAATAGAAAACTGTCTTGCAGTTGCTAGTATTTTCACAGCACTAAGATGGTTCTTACTTTTCAATCACATCTGCAATGAACTGGCTCGCTGCTTGAGCCTCTTCACCAGGTGGTCCAGAGCGAAACCTCTCTGCACAGAGGGATGGCAGCTCTACATTTGGAACTAGGTAGCAAGAATCATTAGTCATAAACCAAAGAAAGCAGGCAATGGGTAATCAAAAATAAAAAAATAAATAACAGATGCTCTTAATACCATTTTATATACTTCTAATGAAAGGCAAGACCGAGAATTTTTCAGTCAAGCCTTCTTAATTCTCCCCTCAAAAATGAAGTTGTGCATGAGTTTGTATCAAAGAACTTGTAGTACTCCCTGTACCCAGAAACAATATATTCCATGGAAAAGCATGTACTCCTAGCTACCACTCTCTGTTTATAATCTTTGTCTGGCTATCATGACCCACGCAAATTCTTCTTTAAGTGTTAAGCACTTTTCAGCAGATCAAGAAACGGCAGCATTTCCATGCCACTGCCTGACTTTACTGGTATGCTGTCTGCTTTTCATCACCCATTAAAACCTGAGGCTTTAGACTTGAAGTAAAAACATGAATAAATATTCATGAAAAAAACCTAAGCATAGTCCAGCTCACTGAAAACAAGATACTTGGGAGATGCCTTAGAAAAGGGGGATTTCATCTAAGCTCTTAGTTCCACAGAACTATTTTATTTCCAAAGAAACTCCAAACAGGAGCGAGGAGGTA